TTGAACTCTCAATAATTTGAACCAATGAGAACCAAGTATTAAGGATTCTCAATTCGGCACGCATCCCAAAATCACATCATAGCCGTCCAATCACTTTCAAAAAACACAGTTAATGCATTTAATAACCGTAGACACTGGATTATAAAAGCACACGGATAATCATTCTGAGCCGTCAGATACACTATCACACACGATCCCCACAATCCCCAAAGCCCTCTTATATAATCTTTCACTTGCAAATTCAGCAGAATTTTTCTTCAATCACAAAAGTAAAAGAGGAGAAGAAGGAGGAGGAGGAACAATTTTTTCTAAGAGGTAATTTTTTTAATTATTTTGCTGCATATATTTATGAACTTGTTTTTTTGTGTCTTTGAAGATCATGATTGATTCTGTCTTTTTTTTTTTGGAAATTTTATGGCTAGGATTTCTGATTATCTCTTGAACCAGTCCCTTCTATGGTAGTGGAATTCTTTTGTGGCAGAAAGCTAGGATTTTGAGGAATGTTGTTGAATATTTAGGGATTTAACTGCTCTTGTATTTTGATTCGGTGTGTACTGTGCTATCTTAGGGTTTCAGGATAAAAGATCATTCCTTTTTGCTGAAAATAGAATTTTAGTGTTGGAGTCGATACATTGGGTGCAAATTTGAACATATTTGTGTGTGTGTTTGTTTGGTGGGGGGGGGGGAGGTATTGATTGTCAAAGAATTTTTTATTTTTTTTATCTGTATCTTCTAATAGATATTGTAGTGAAGCAATCTTAGGTTCTGCAAATTTGTAGAATTTATATTCCTTGTTAATGATAAGCTTTGAATGGTTGTGTATTTGCTTCACATTATAGTATTTAGTGTAAAGTTGAAATCTTTCATTAGGATTTCTTCTTAATTTTTGTGAATTGTGGGTATACGCCTTGTATTTTTGCAAAATTGAGTTAATTTTGGGGGTTTCAACTTGAAGTTGAGTTTTTTCTCATGTTATATTTCTGTTCTTATGAGAATTGTGGGTTGTGGTTTTATCCTATTTTTTAAAATTAAATTTGAATTTTACTTTTTCTCTTGAAGAATACTTAAATTATTATCATAATTGTTTTAATATTTTTAAAAAAGAAAATATAATTATTTTCCATATTTAGGTATTCTTTCAAAAAGTTTGGAACTCAAAATTATTATGCTCATATCAAGAACATAAAAACATTCACAATGTAGTTATTTAGAGAGTTTTGTTTAGGGGTAGATTTTTCTTCCAACAAATTTTAATATTTTCTTTTATATTATAAGTTTGTCATATGTAGGCCAATTGGCCAAATTATATAACGATATTATGCTTTTAAGTATAGTTTTTATCATCTAATTTATCACCTTTATAATTGTAAGCTTCCGCATGACGTTCTAATTCATTCAAACCCAACATTAAGCTGCTTAAACGCCAAATAAAATCCTTTGTATAATAATCAAAAGTCAGAGTTGCAATGTCTGTTGGGAAGAAGTTGAAGGTGAAGGAAAAGAGGAGGAAAGGGGATCGTAGGCCTAACCATCGTAAATTTATCGATATTTTTTGTCCATCAAAATTATAGCAATACTTATTGTACCGAGAGTAATGTGAGTAGTACCTTATATTTGGGCTCATATATATATATTACCCTAATTAATAAGTGAACAAGGATAGGACCAACACAACAAGTACTTATTGTACCGAGAGTAATGTGAGTACCCTTATTAATAAGTGAACAAGGATAGGACCAACACAGCAAGTACTTATTGTACTGAGAGTAATGTGAGTAGTACCTTATATATATATATATATTACCCTAACTAATAAGTGAACAAGGATAGGACCAACACAACAAATACTTATTGTACCGAGAGTAATGTGAGTAGTACCTTATATTTGGGCTCATTTTATTTGATAGGTGTCTTTATCCTATATCTGCTAATTACACGTTTATTATTCTTTCTATGTAAGGTAAACACGTGTAATATTTTACATCTTATTTTGCATTCTCTGAGATCGTCTCTTCTAAGCAGCTGAAGCAAAATGGTCATTCTTCCCTTTTTGCTTCTATTTTAGGACCGAGACTTCTTCCCGATTCCTCAACTTTGTTTACTCTTATCTTTGTTCTTGCAGTGGATGTTTATGGGTGGAGAAGATGGGTGGTGAATGAGATTTTGAAGTAAAGTTTTGGCTTAGCATTATGCCGTTGAATCCACGACTTATGATTTTATTTATTTATTTATTCACCTGTAAGCATTTCAATTCGAGTTTTGTTCTTTGATGATGTGATATCAATATAAATTATTCTAATCACTATGACGCTGTGTACATTGATTCAGCAAAAGTGTTTGATGATATGCTTGAGTCAACTAAAAATTACTGTATTTCTTTTTTCACAGATGTTCTTTGAGATTTTGACTTACAAGCAAGGTACTATATTTACAAGCTAAGGTACACTATTTACTTTTACTGAACCATATTTGTGATCAATATATGTGTAGTATTATCATTATGATTTCCTATTGCCTTTCTGTTTTTGGATCCCCTAGAGAATGTGAAATCAAATGTTGTAACACTTATTCTTTAGATGGTTTTGGTGTACTGAGATTCACATTGAATGTTACTAATAATGTATTATCGTTCGAGGTTCTTGAGAATTAAAGCAATAGTTAACGAAAATTTACACAAGGCACAAATAAGGACTTAGGATATATAGATTCTTCTCGAGTGTAATAGTGACATGTTGTAATTCAATGTTGATTGATGAAAACCATATACAATCATGTTCACAGTTTTTTGCTTAAGATAACTCCTTGACATTGTCAACGGGGTTGACTAACATAATGAAGTCATATTTCTGAATTCACAGTGTAGGACTAGAGCAACTAAATGCAGGGTCGATAAAAATGACAATTGTGCCTCAATCTCAAGCAAGTTAGAGTCAACTATACAAATCCTCACTTTCCATGTCATCTATCAAAGTCTTGAAAGAAAAAATTTCAAAGTATCAGCTACCAACAAGTACAAGTGTAGCTAAATGTAGGATTACCTAAAAGAAAATCAGATATTCTTACTTGCACCCCTTGATTAGGGACGACCAGACTACGTAAATTAGTGTAATTAGTGAAAATGTTGAACATGACCCATAGCAATCTCAGAATCTCTTGCACCATCCATTGACCTTTGATTGATGTTAGCAGATCCAATTATAATGTATGCGTCATCAATTTCAAGAAAGAACAAAAGACGCAAACATTAGTTTGATCAAAATGATCAATAGAGATAAAGTTGGTACTCCCTCCATTTCTATTTGCCTGTCTGGTTTATAATTTGACACAGAGTTTAAGAAAGTAAACAAGACTTGAATCTTGTGGTCTTAAGCTAAAGATGTGTAGAATGTACCACTTAACATGTCGTCAAAAGTTAGAATTGAATAGTTGGCAGAAAAGGAAGAGACATTCTTTGTGAAACGGATTAAAAAGGAAAGTAAGACAAAAAAAATTGAAATTGTTTACTCACCGATCATCATTTTTGAATGAACGTAAATTATAAAGCGTCTATATTCTTGAGCTCTTGCATAATTAGTATCAGGAACTGGTTTCTAAGGAGGTTTGTATTCTCCAGGCTTTTTGACTTCGCGGTTTCCAAGACAGAAGAATGTCAAGTACTCTCTAGGATCAACAATAGTATTTCCCTTGGTCTTAATGGCATTGCATATGTCTGTGTACATCATTTCCATTGTCTTTTTCTGCCAGTCTAGAATTGCCTGAACAGAATCACTTTCTGGTATACCTTCTGGCCACATCGGAAGAACAATGTAGACCGTAAATCTCTCCTCTGCTTGAATCTTGCTCACAATCTTGAGTGAGATCTCCTTTGGGATAAAGATGCAAAGCTCCGATGTCCTCGAGCTTGATATCATTTGCAGGCTTCCAACCATAGCAACTTCCAATAAAGTATTGGTTTTCAATGTAAATGAAATTCTTAGCTCGACGAATGGCACTAATGTATGCATCGTGGATACTTTGATCAATGACGACGCTTTATCTAGTAACAAGGCCTACCTCAGAAGCTTCTTCGGGGTTTACAAGGAAGTCAGTAACAATGCCACCATCAATAGACCGAAATATTTGAACATTCTAGGTTTCTCTATCCCTTGATGTTGTAACTTCCGTTGGACGAATAATAAATTTATCAAGCTCATTCATTGAGTAGATAAATTTATTTCCAATATGCTTCCTCCACCTTTGCTCAAAAATATACAAGACATCCCACACAACAGGCCCTTCTAGCCTACAATGAATGTCATGCCAAGGCTCTCTTGGACCACCTTTCACGATTGAAGATCCTGTAAAGCTAGGCTGATAAAAATCTTGCTTATGTATTGTGTCCAATGTCCTGAATAATGAGTGATCTCGAGTATCATATCGACCATAACAAAGATCAATATCACCAAGACTTACTATCATCCTTTTATGTGACATTCCTCTTGGAATTTCAATGTCTACAACGATTGTCTTTTGATGATGAGTAAACAATGTACCAACTTGAAACCCCTGAATCTTTTGTGTACCAACTTGAAACCCTTGAATCAGTGCCTTTCCACTTTCTTGATCATGAGTTGACATTGGTCCATCTCTTTTTACTACCTCATCTGAAGTTATATTATCCCAAACTAGCAATAGAACATTAACTCATTCACTTGCTTTCTTTTTCAGGAGCTCCTCGAGAGTAAGTTCTCCGCCTACCTTTGGCCTTTTTGGATTTCTTATCAAGGTAATTTTTGTATACACTGACTAGGAGGATATATAAATCACATGCTTTGCATTGTTGATTGCATCAAAAATGTCTTCCCAACATCTCTGAGGTTCGAAAAGTCCTTGTGACTTGATATAATTTCTGATATCGTTTGAAATCTCTGCATCGGAGTTAAGTGTAACTTGACACCCCTGTCTCTCCTTGAAAAGCGTATACTTGACTCCTCTAAATGCAAGGGATGTAATGCCTCTAGACCAATTACTGTCTTGCTTTACGCATTACTGTCTTCTAACTCTTGAACTAAATTCTTGGTCCATTTTAATTTGTCATTCACCTTTTCTCTCTTTTTTCTGTTTGTTGCAATAACTCACTATAGGCTTTTTTCCATGGAACTTGCTTAAACCATGGCTATTTTTTGGTTATGCACTTCATTTGATCTGTTCCTTCAAACTTTTGACAGGAAATATTTCATTTTCTCCATGCTTGCTTCCTCCCTTTTGTGTTTTCTTTATTTGGTTTTTGAGTACATAGTTCTGTTTCTTTGATTTCTATTGCCACTAAAGCTCCTTTCATTTCTCTTATGTGATTGAAATTGATATTTGTGATAGTACTTTGCATGAGCCATTGTCTATCATTTCTATTTGTTTTCCCAATTAACTCCCACTACGTACTCTGCTATATTTTAAGCTAATAAATGTTGAATCAAAATGAGTGATATTTTAATTGAAAAAATCTTTTTTTTATTCAAGGAACTAAAGAAGATCATATATTTCATGTTTAACAAAATTTGGCAGCTACATATTCTCCTTTGCTGCTGACTTTCCTTTATCAGGTATTTTTGAAATGTCAATACTTAGTTACTTGTGAGAAGTTTAGGTCCAAACTTAGATTATCTTGTATTACAAATTTAGTAAGACGTACTCTGAATCTAGCCCAGTATGAAAAGAAAAAATTGCTTTCTAACCTATTTGGTGTTCAATACAAATTACTTCGCTTGAATGATGTATATATATAATATTTTTTACTATTTTATTCTTTCTAAATTTATGTACGACCAGGCAATTCTAGCATGGTTGTCTCTTGGTTGGAGCAAGACAACCAACTAGATGCAAGAAGACTGACAACAAAGTAATCTCAGTTGCTATTAGCAACGAAAGTTAGCTTAAGAAGAGAGGACATTTACTCTAGCAGTGGATATGACTGAGAGAATAATTCAAAGCAATGTAGTAGAGGTGTGCTATATAACCCAATATTCCGAATCTGCACGTGGAAAATTAAAAAATAAAATAAAAATAATTTTTTATTTATAATATATAGAAATTAGTTGGATTACTTTATACTGTTTAAATTATTGCAAATCAGTTTACCCCTTCAGAGTCGGAGTCACGTGAAGTTGCAGACTTAAAAACAAAAAAGAATCGTTTGATTCTGATTAGATCGATACGAAATATTAAAAAATAAAAAGATATTTATAAAAATTTATGGTTTAAAACAAGTAGGGTATAAATTATTTTATTAAAGATAAAATAAGTATAAATAAAAATTACTATAGATAAAAAAAGTATTTTTGTTTTTTTAAATCGATTAAAAAACATAACAATAACATGTTCATTGTAAAATTTCATTAGTGAAATTTTGAGAAAGATAGAATGTACATATATTATATTCTTATCTCATAATAATAAAAAAATAACTATTTTCAATAGATTGGGATTTTATTTTGTGTATTCTTTATTTTATGTTTGTTATGAAAAATATTTTGTATATTGAGATTTCCGACCTCACGCGCCGAGATCTGGGTGATACACACCGCTCAGTGAATGCTGGTACGGTCACTCAGCAATCGATCGGCTCTAATCTAGAGCACCGCAGCCCTCCTCTCTCTTTCTCTCCGTCGACGCCAGCGAAACTGAGAGACACCAACGCCATCTCGAGCACCAGCGCTGCTCCGACCAGACGGCAGCTCCGACGGGATTGCTCCGCTCCCCTCTTTCTCTTTCTCTTTCCCTCTCCTTCGTTCTTCTTCTCCGTCTCCTCTTTCTCTTCGTCTGTCCAGCAGCCGACGAGGACCACCAGCAACCACCGGACAGCAGCAGCAGCCGGCGACAACCCACGACAGCAACAGCTCCGGTCAACAGCAACCAGCGAGAGCTAGCTCTGACTCCGGCGAGCTACCGGCCAAACAACAGCGCACCAGCAGTGCTACTGTTTGTCGCCAGAGACCAACCAGATCTGGCCGGAAAATTGCCCAAAGACCACCGAAGCCCTCCATCTTCACCGACCAGGTTCTATCTATCCTGTCTCTCTTTCTTTCTTGATCTGAATCTATTTTCTGGGCCCTCTCTTGCAGATTTTGTGTTTTTGTTTTTTACTTTGAAACCCTTCTTGTTAGGTAAGTTAATATTGCTTGGTAGGTAATTACACCATACTTTCAATAATTTGAAGAGCATAGGAGTAGATTTTAAGGTTATCTGATTGTGCATTGTGCATTACACTCTGATTATCTGAATTTTTTATTTCTGATTGGCATTTTAGTTCAGATTAGGGCTCCATCTTCTATATTCCGGATCAGTACTTTCTTGTTTTCTATTATAGTTTGGATCAGTGCTTCAGCCTTTAGTATAGTTGTTGCTATCTTGTCTTTTAGATTATACACCTGTTGCAGTATTATTAAGTGTATTCCTGTGTAGATTTTACATTAGATTCAGTATCTTTCTAGTGGATTTGGTATCTGATGGTGGTATTGAGTCATGTCTTCGGTTGAGGCCGAGGACGAGGGAAAATAGTGGTAAGTGGGTTACGGGTCCCCATAAATTGAGGGTAGGATCATGGAACATAGGTTCGTTGACGGGGAAGTCCATAGAGCTAGTGAAAATTCTCAAGAAGAGAAAGATAAATATAGCTTGTGTCCAAGAGACTAGATGGGTAGGTTCCAAGGCTCGGGATGTCGACGGGTTTAAGTTGTGGTACTCAGGAGGCTCAAAGGATAGAAATGGAGTGGGTATTTTAGTAGACGGGGATTTGAGGGAGCAAGTGGTGGAGGTTAGGAGGATCAATGATAGGTTGACGACGATTAAGCTAGTCATTGGAGGATGTACTTTGAGTGTTATTAGTGCTTATGCACCTCAAGTGGCATTTTTGAAATGTCAATACTTAGTTATTAGTGCTTATGCACCTCAAGATCATATATTTCATGTTTAACAAAATTTGGCAGCTACATATTCTCCTCTGCTGCTGACTTTCCTTTATCAGGTATTTTTGAAATGTCAATACTTAGTTACTTGTGAGAAGTTTAGGTCCAAACTTAGATTATCTTGTATTACAAATTTAGTAAGACGTACTCTGAATCTAGCCCAGTATGAAAAGAAAAAATTGCTTTCTAACCTATTTGGTGTTCAATACAAATTACTTCGCTTGAATGATGTATATATATATAATATTTTTTACTATTTTATTCTTTCTAAATTTATGGACGACCAGGCAATTCTAACATGGTTGTCTCTTGGTTGGAGCAAGACAACCAACTAGATGCAAGAAGACCGACAACAAAGTAATCTCAGTTGCTATTAGCAACGAAAGTTAGCTTAAGAAGAAAAGACATTTACTCTAGCAGTGGATATGACTGAGAGAATAATTCAGAGCAATATAGTAGAGTTGTGCTATATAACCCAATATTCCGAATCTGCACGTGGAAAATTAAAAAATAAAATAAAAATAATTTGAGCTTGGGACTTCCATGTTGGAGGTCTCAAGTTCGAAACCCCTTGCAAGCGAAAGCAAGGGGTTTGCCTTCTGGGTCGAGCTCGTCGCACCAGGCTTGCCTAGTGCGGGTTACCTCTCCTATGTGGTTTGCGAGCTATTGCATAGGAGCGGGGGTTTTACCCTGTGCGCACCCAAAGGGTAGCGGCTGCGGGTTTCCCTTGTCATCAAAAAATAAAATTAAAAAATAAAAAGATATTTATAAAAATTTATGGTTTAAAACAAGTAGGGTATAAATTATTTTATTAAAGATAAAATAAGTATAAATAAAAATTACTATAGGTAAAAAAAGTATTTTTGTTTTTTTAAATCGATTAAAAAACATAACAATAACATATTCATTGTAAAATTTCATTAGTGGAATTTTGAGAAAGATAGAATGTACATATATTATATTCTTATCTCATAATAAAAAAATAACTATTTTCAATAGATTCTCAGCTTAAATAAAGCATTTTAGAATAATTTGAAAAACGACGGAGGAAACTCAAACTACTATTGCATTATTGAACATGCCGTTAAGCTATAATTCTGGGGCGGAGCCATATTAGAAGAAGCGATTTTACAGAACACAATTTCGTTGGAAAATTATATATATACTAAAATAGAAGTGTCAAATATTTATAAAACATTTCAAAAATAAAAATAATCCTGTTTAAATTTAAATGGAAGAAAGTACTAATAGTATTTTATTTTGCATGAAGGGAGTAATAAATATATTCACATTCATTATTAAAGTTGTAGTTCTATAACGTCCCCCCACCCAATCCCTTTATTTCTTACCTATCTTTCTTCTCAGCTTCCATATATATACAATATAAAAAATGGTCAAATTATTCTCCTAGGTACAGAAAAAGAGTTTGATAGACTTTTGCAAAAATCATAAATTCAGGTACTCACATACTAATATTTCTGTCTCTGTCTTCTTTATAAATATTTGCTTTTGTTCTTTCTTCTGTTAATTAGTGGTCTTTAATGGCCTAAGTACAGAAAAAGAGTTTATTAGACTTTTGCAAAAATCATAAATTCAGGTACTCACATACTAATATTTCTGTCTCTGTCTTCTTTATAAATATTTGCTTTTGTTCTTTCTTCTGTTAATTAGTGGTCTTTAATGGAGTTTTTGTTGTTGTTGTAAAGATTTGTGCTTTTGCTTAAAGAATGGATTTTTATGTGTTTATGATTCTTGATTAGCTGAATTTACCTTCTTTTATTGTTTATAATTAATCATCTGATGTATATAATATATGAACATTAGCATAGTTGGGTGAGTTATAAGATTCTTTTTACTTTCCTTTTATAAAAAACTCTTTATTTTTTTTTGGGTATTCAGATTTCTGTTTGGGGGTTACATTAATATTGATGGTTTAGATCTGGGTAAATATGTTAATTTTTTTTTGGATTTTCGCTGGAAATAATTTGTACCTATTTTATATTTTTGGGAGATTATCTTGGTTTTTTCTTTCATGTGCAAATATCTATGGTTTTTTTTATGACCAATGTAAAAAAGGCAAAGCGCATTGGTCATATATGGGATAAAGAAACACAATATAAAATTATAGTTAATACCATGATTGTATTTCTCCCTACATTATAAATTTTATTATTCTCTATTTTTCAGCCTAAAAGTGGCCCAAATAGGTTTGTTGAAATTCCAATGAGAAAAAATAGGTTTTTGTTACATTTATAACTTCACATAAATCTTTTGTTTCAATTAGGTTGTAGCGGCATTTGGGAATGGCGAACAGCAAGTATGAATACGTGAAATGTTTTGAGGTGGAAGACGAAGTAATGTACCCAAATATCATTGTTGTTCAAATTGATGGCCGCGGCTTTGGCAGGTAATGAGATGTTTAAATGTTTACGGTTTGCATGTGCCTTTATTTTTTGTCTTCTTATCTTTCTGCAAATTAAGGTAAAGGTGTTGAAATCTAGAGATATCCAGTTAAAATTTTATTGAAGTATAGGTCTCTGTTCAGGTTAAGTGCTAGTTCTTGTCAATTGGTGTTGGTATCTTGTGAATATACTCTTGCTCCTTTTTGGGTTTTGTGGTATTTGATTTTCTAATTTGCATTGTATATGTTTAGTTTCTCGGAGAAGCATGGATTTGAGAAGCCGAATGATGACAAAGCCTTGAACTTGATGAATGCTTGTGCTATTAAGGTATTAGAGAACTTCTCTGATGTTATATTTGCGTATGGATTTACTGATGAGTACAGGTATGATGCGTTTCTTACTATTAGACAGTTATACCCTTTTTCTTCCCCCTTGAAAAGCTTGACAATGTGGTACAACGATTTATGCAGTTTCGTTTTGAAGAAGGAAACCACATTTTACCAGAGGCGAGCAAGGTTTGTAACCTATTTCATATCTCAAGAATTTGATATCAGTGTTTATCAATAATTATTTTTGGCTCTTCGGACGAGTAATTTGAATGATGCACTTTGTCTTGTTAGTATTCATATATCGTTGGTATGGTACAAAATTATTGTTCTTGCATAGACAGTATTCCTTGTCCTATGCTTCTTGAACACTCTTTGAACGATTGCATGATAACTTTGTACATGATTCAACTAGAATCATCTTTTCTGTTAACTACAATATACAAATCTCTTCCTCAGCAGTTGGTTTGCTAGATCATGTCCAATTTGTCTTTGATTTTAGATCATCATCTCAACAATTTTTTTTGGATTCCTGACACCAACAATCTGTCATTATTTTAAACTTGATTGTTACATTGTCCTAGTGCTGACTGCTAAGGAACTGTATGTTATATAACCAGTCTCTAACAGTGAAGGTAATTCAATTATGCTCAGGGATGCTGCTGCCTCTTGGATAGTTTATCAACTTTTTATCTCTTTCT